AAAATACGACAAATAATTTGAGACGGATGGAGTAAATAATACCTCTAACACTCAGCCCAAGACCCAACTACCAAGAGAATCAGTCGGGAGATTATACTCAATAACCTTGAAAATGGATATTCTTAAATTTTTAACTCTGGCTTACTTTATGAGAAAACCTTTAAGGTTAAGAGTCAAAAGTATTGCCCAAGAGTAAGCGAAAGACAACACTTATTAAACTTAAAGTTCTGCTTATGAGCAAGCATGATAAAAAAAAAATCAAGAGCGGCACCAAAATGTCCAATTTTTTCAAATATGTTGCCTTTACATTTCTGCAAAATTTGTTCCTTTTTACTAGTGCAATATATTCGACCNTATAAGTTGGCTAAAAAGAAGGCGAAGTTAGTAGTCACAGTGGCCAAGACTGAAGCATTTGATCGTTTATATGAAGAAGATGAGGGTAAAGGAGGGGATAAGAGGTTGTTTAGGTTATCCAGGGTAAGAGAAAGAAAGGCTCGTGGCTTTGACCAAGCAAGGTGCATCAAGGACGAAGAAGACAGAGTTTTGTTGGATGATGCGCATATCCGTCGGAGATGGCAGACTTACTTACAGAGTCTCTTGAACGAGGAGCGAGATAGAAACATTATTCTGTGTGATTTGGAATCCTTCGAGAGTCATTGTGACTTTGGGTATTGTAGGTGGATTAGAGTTGAGGAGGTCATGGAGGCTATGCGTAAGATAAGCAGGGAAAAGCGACCGAGCCAGATAATACCAAGTAAAAGTACTTCATCGTGCACTTTTACTTGTTTACTTTACTATAAAAAAAATTTAAATTTTTACTTGATCATTTTAGCAAATTAAGAGAAATAAAGAATTTTTTTTATTTTACTCTTATTATTAACTACTCATTCCTTAAATTATTTTCCAAATTTTTTTAAAATGTTATCATGATAAAATATATACTTTTTTTATTATTTAAAAAAAAATACAAAATCAATTATAAACAAGTAAAAGTGAATGGGAGGAGTAATATAATTACAGCCCCATCATCATCCGATTAGATTTATAGATTCTCAGTAGCAAATTATTTATGTACGTAATTGTATTTGGAGTAGGGAAAAAATTTATTCATCCTTAATTAAAGGTTTTGGATTCGCATTCTGAAAATGAAAATTTATTCGATAAAAAGTAATTTACCCTCTTAGCCTATTATTAAGTATAAATTAATTAGTCGGATCAATAAATTCTCAGAATTAAAATATATAATTAAACTGAAGAAAAAGAAAACTAAAAACAAACCACCGAAAAAAAAAGAAGCAGATAAGATTCTTCACCTCGAAAACAACGAGGGGTTTGGTTACCAATGGTCAACTATTTGTCTGTTTCTATAATGGTTTTTCTTGTGTGGTGGCATTTTCTCCAAGCATTAAATCCACATTCCACTCCCAAGATAATTGTGATAAGTTTTGTAAAATTAATTCAAACGGTAAACACAAATAAAAGAGGATAATGACACTGTTCAGCAAGTTTTTAATAACAACAAATAAAATAATAAAGATGGCAATACGCCTGGAATATACACTTATGAATTGAGGCAAATTTAGAATTTAAATTTTATGGGTTCAGCCTTTAAAGTTTTTAGCATAAAATCCATTGTATTTGTAAAGTTATAGGTTCATATTACAATATTAATGAATTTTTATATATAAATTTATGTTTCACGTCAAAAAGTACTGAATCAGTTGAGTCCGGTACCGATATATTGCATCTACCTCTGCTTATAAATTTTCGAGCTTTCTTAATAAAAATGTTGAGCTAAATAGGTTCTTCAGGATAACATAGTTTTCACTACAATTCTACATTTTTTTAATGACACGGAGACTTTCTTAGAAAGAAAAAAAAAATTGCAGCTTGTTTACTTTTTTTTTTTTTTATAATTCTTTCAAATTAATTTTTGTCTCTTATTCTCATGAACGATTTGCCTGTATGAAATTTGAAGATGATAACCTTCTAAGTTCTAATTCCAAAACAATTAAGTGTCCTATAAATTGAAAAAAAACATACGCTCTTCGTCCTATAAATATCGCCAAGTGTTGACGAACAGTCCTATAAAATTTATGTTGGTGAATTTTTTTTTTTGAAAAATTTCCGGGAAAATCTAGTCGCTATATAAATAGCATTAAGCAAGCTCTGTGCGACGAGTTTTGACTGAGGAGGCTGCTAGTGAGGGAAATCGATCCCAAATTTTCCACATGGGAAACCACTTACCCAACCAACTCAGCCAACCTTTGCGGGCAAAATATTTCGCACGTTCTACACAAATTGTGTGAACTTTATGCCATTAAAAATGTGGCATAACATTGTATATGGTAAAATTGGCTTATATTAAATGGTCAAATGATGGTGCGACACGTGGAACCAAAGACAGGTAGAAGATAAATCGAGTAACAACCAGTACCGGGAACAATAACTGCCACTAGTATCGGATGAATCCCGAAGAGGGCACAATCAACATGAGCAGATGAATGTTTGTGTAACGACTCGGCCGGTCGTTTTGAGAATTATAGCGTCGATTTTCTATTAACTGCTTTCCCCGTATCTATTTCTGCTATTGTGCTTGCCGGGAGGTTTCGTTTTAGTTTTTGGAGTATTTTGGGACACTTAGTCCCTAAATAGAGGCTTAAGTCTTAAGATTTGGACCGTAGTCGAAACAATGTGAAGACGACTTCGGAATGGAGTTCTGTCGAATCCGTTAGCTTCGTTGGGTAATTTTGGGATTAGGGGCGTGTCCGGATTGTGTTTTGGAGGTCCGTAGCGCATTTAGGCTTGAAATGGCGAAAGCCGAATTTTTGGAGATTCAGACCGGTAGTGAAATTTTTTATATCGGGGACGGATTCCGATTAAGTTGGAGTAGGTCCGTAGTGTTGATTATGACTTGTGTGCAAAATTTGGGATCAATCAGATATGGTTTGGTTGGTTTCGACATCAGTTGTCGAATTTGAAAGTTTCAAGTTCTTTAGGTTTGATTTGGAAGGAGATTCGTGATTTTAGTGTTGTTTGATGTGATTTGAGGGCTCGACTAAGTTCGTATGGTGTTTTAGGATTGGTTGGTATGTTTGGTTGAGTTCCGGGGGGCCTCGGGTGAGTTTCGGGTGCTTAACGGATCAAAGATTGAAGTTGTGTTGTTGCTGAAGTGATCAGGCTTCTGGTGTTTTCGCACCTGCGGTGGGGAAACCGCAGGTGCGGGATCGCACGAGTGGAGGGCGCAGATGCAAAGTTTGGAGACTTGCCCAGGGATCACAGATACGAGGGTAGTACCGCATTTGCAAAGCCCGCAGATGCGCCTAATGAATCATAGATGCGATGTAGGAGCGCAGAAGCGGACAGTTTCCGTAGAAGCGCGCATGCAGGTGCGACCTTTTTTTCCGCAGATGCGGACCCAACCTTCATAAGTGAGTTTCGCACCTGCGATGTCTTTCCCGCAAGTGCGGTTGTAGGCTCGCAGAAGCGAGTTCGTTGGGCAGAAAAGAGAGTTTCGAGAGTTTGAATTCATTCTTCATTTTTGGACTTGGGAGCTCGGAAATTGGCGATTCCTCGAGGGATTTTCAAAGAGAACTTTGGGTAACGATTCCTAATTCATTTTGTGTTGTATTTCATTAATCCATAGTTGTTTTCTTCATTAAATTAAGGAAATTGGGTGAGAAGTTGAGGAAATGGAGGAAAAGTTCTTCAACCGATTTTTTTGAGTTTTGATTGGGATTTAGACATCAGATTTGGATAATTTTGGTACGAGTGAACTCGTGAGTGAATGAGTGTTCATAATTTGTGACTTTTGCCTAATTCCGAGATGTGGGCCCAGGGGGGCTTTTTGAACAATTTTTCAATTTCTTGCCTTAGCTTTGATTTCATTAGCTAGATTAGTTTCTTGTAGTTATATTTATATTATATAATTGGTTTTGGTTAGATTTGGACCATTCAGAGTCAGATATTTATGGAAAGAGCATTGTTACGGATTGATTGAGCTTGGTTCGAGGTAAGTGACTTGCCTACCTTTGTGTGGGAGAATTCCCTTTAGGATTTGGTACTGTTTTGATATGTGAGCACCGTATATGTGAGGTGACGAGTACGTACACAGGCTATTTATTGTAAAACTCCGTTTTTCATTAAGTCATAACTCGTTTCTCCTTATTTGAACTACACTAGCATATGTAACTATCATGTTTAGTTTATAATAGCATGCCTATGTGTTTTAACTGCCTATCTGAACTCTGTGCAACATATTTAGTGAAATTACTTGCTTTCCTTAACTTGAACTTAGTCTAAATTGTAGGTTTTCTTGCCGTATCTATTATGTCTGTTGGTTGAGCTGCATATTTATGTTTGGGACTACAGAACAGTATTCCGGGAGATCCCCTTGCTCTGCATATTTACTTTGGGAATACAGAACGGTATTACGGGAGATCCCTCTGCATATTTGCGTTTCGGACTACGAGACGGTATCTCGGGAAATCCCCTGTTATCATCTCTGTGTTCTGAGCTATTGTCTTTCTATGATTCTATTCCTGCTAGATTCTCGTATTTATTTTGACTGCTGTAAGCACGTAATTTCTGACCCGCAAATTTTTTATGTTAGTTTTAGTATTTTAAATATTTACTTGAGTTATTATCGATTTTTAATCTATTTTATTACCACTTTATTAGTTTAATTTTATTGTTTTAGTATTTAAAAATTAAAAAATACAAAATAGTTTCATTTTAATATGAGTTTTGTTGTAGTTAAAGTTTATTTATATTTTATTAGTATTTTGTTATTTATTATTTTTAGAAAGAAAATTAAATTTTAGGGCTAACTTTTGTCTTGGCTTAATTCAAGAAGTCCAAAGAGATGGCCCAAATCAGACCAACCTCTTTGAGCCCAATACCATTTTAACCTTAGCAGCCCACTTCCCCTATTTTAATTTCCCGACCCGCCCCATCAACCCTCAATATTAGTCGTCCAAACACTTCATCCAATGACCCACATTACTTCTCTTTATCACATAAATCCCCAATTTCACAAACCCTAAACCTAACTTCTAAAACCAGCCACATCATCCCCTTTACCTCTGGTTTTTCTCTCATACACAAGAGAGAAGCCACCATCACCAAATCTTTAAGATTGCTAACAGGCCTGCCCCTTCAGATCTTTTTTTCTTTCAAAACTTAAAAAAACAAAAAGAAGTATTCACACACACCTACAGAGATAAACACACACACCCACAGAGATACACGGGAGAGAGACGAGAGGAACGAGGGAAAGCAGGGGCTGGGGAAATGCACAGAAACAGAGACGAGAGACGAGGAACGAGAGCTAAGCACCTCACCTGTCGTCATCTTCTTCACATCACAGAGCCTTGAACCAAATTCTCTATAGCCACCAACCGTAAAGCTCAGTGCCCTTGCTCCACTGCTCAAAACCTCCATCGAAACAATGTGAAATAGCTCGAGACAACTCCGAATCACGAGTCACTGTTATGGAGTCCGTTGGTTTTGTCTTTCTGGTTTAGTTCGAGTTTTCCGGCGTGCTTCAAGGTCATCGAAGGTCATTGTCCAAGGAGTCCGTTGCATTCATACATCGAGGTACTATCTATTGGTTTCCGGTTCGAATTCCGTCCGGGGTTCTAGCGGTTTGAGATCTATTTCTCCCTTATTTTGCCATTTTGCTTAATATCGTGCTTTCCCTTGTTTCGGTGATTGTTTCTTCTCTGTCTTGTTGATATTTTGAGTTGATATTTTATTGTTCTGTTTAGGGTGTCTCAGTAATACTTGATTACTCCGTTTCGTTCTATTGGCATAGTTTTGTTGTCGTTTGTTTAGTCTGTTCGGGTGGATTTTGATGCCAAAAAATGTATTTCTGATCTTTGTTTCATTGTTTCATTTGAAGATAAAATGTTTAAGTCTTCATAGTTACTACTCTTATAGCAAAAAAAAATATAATAATAATTAAACTAACACCATTAAGTATATTGAATGGAATTCTAGCTGTTTCAGTTGTGGGAATTAGCTTTCAAAACGTGGAGGAAATTGGGGTTAGTTAATTTTGTTGCTCTTTTCTTCTTACTCTCATGAATTTGATCAATAGTAGCATGCTTAGGCCGACCACACTCGGGTAGGTAAATTTTTAGGATTTTCGAAGTTCATGTGACATAATTATAGGTTCCAAAATTAAGACCAAAGTATGCGTTCGCGCAACTTTGGGCGAAATAATCTTAATAATAATAAAATGTTATTAATTGTGTACACGTTCGCGTGACACGAGTACGATTTTTAAAAAGATATAATATTCGTAAAAAATGCTTTAAGCGCGACTTAATCTATCATCGAGATTGTGTACACGTTCGCGTGACATAATTAAGATTTTCAAAATGGATCAAGGTACGCGTTCACGTGACTTTGGCCAAGCTTTCTTAATAATTAAGTGTTGTAAATTGTGTACACGTACATGTGACATGATTCTTGACATGCCGAACAAAATGAGTATACGTACGCGTGACTCATTTTAAGATATTACGAATAATTAAGTAATTTAAAAAGCGGTGAAATGTAAAATGCACATAGGTTCTAAAACGCGTAATTAAAAAATTTAATTAAGCCAAGTATTATTAGAGTGACCGTTCTAAAACCACAAAATTCGAGAATGCCTAACACCTTCTCCTAGATTAACAGAATCCCTTACTCGGTCTTCAGGTTTCGCAGATTTTAAGACAGAGTCAATTTTCCTCAATTTGGGATTTAAAATAAACCGGTGACTTGGGACACCATAAATATTCCAAGTGGCGACTCTGAAATGAAATAAATAATCCCATTTCAGTTAATGTCATTTAAATTGGAAAAACTCCTTATCCCCTGGGAAAAAGGAGGTGTGAAAGATCTGGCAACACTGCCGGGATCGAACCCAGAATCTCTGGTTTAGGGTTCAAAATTCAAGCTTGTTGATATGATCTATGCTTGGCTTTATTGTTTGTTGATATTACTGTCTTTGTGGACCTAATGTGCTAATTACCGCTTTGATATTATTTGAACAATATTAAACTGTCTTCTTATGCTTCCCTTTTGAGTCTTCTTAAAATATGGTGCACACATACGCGTGGCCCACTTTTGTATTAGAGGTCGTACCAAATAGAACAAGGCTGGATCAGCAACTAGGCCGGTACTTTCGTGCTCCCGTTATATTGCTCCCACCTTGGCTTGAGTTGTCCGCTTGGGTAAGCCATGTGTAGAACATACCCCCGCCTTATGCCGGATCCCTAGTAGGTACATTTGTTTGCATCACATGCATTTGACTTTAGGGACTCAATACAGGGGTTGGGTCCGTCTAGGACAGGTGTACCCAAAAATAAAAGATCATCCTGATGCATCTTATGTGCTACATGCTGCATTCTTCAAGGGTAAAAAGAGTCATTTAGCAGACCAATGATGGTTGAGGGTAAATAAGAAAGAAAAGAGGGTGAATTTTAAAATGAAGCAAGTAAGACCTAGTTATATTTTTCTTTCACAATTTTTTTCAAGAAAAAAACCAAAACAAATACATAAAAAAATAAAAAAAAAAAAAAAGATTTTGCACTTTCCCATCGTTTTTCAAAAAATAAAAGACAAAAAAATACGTTTTCTCCAAATCAGCTATTTTTTTGTAATTCTCGCCCGTATCCACTTTTCCCTAACTATACATACCTGATTCTCATCTTTCAGGGAGGGATACGTAAGCAGTCCATATAGGGTCCGGTCTTCCTAGTAAGTCTTAGGTTCTTGAATTCGGGGTCATAGTCAAATCTTGCATGTCTAGCCACGTTCGGCCACATCGGTCGTTTTTGCAAAATACGGATATTTTCGCAAAAGTGGCCTGTTACCCCATGTCTTAGAGTCCTAAGTTCACAACAAGATGTCCTCTCAGTTCTAAGGTCCGTTCATGTTGAATTTGCATAGTCTAGCCACTTTTGGCCACATCGGCCATTTTTACAAAATGAGGTCGTTTCCGCGAAAGTTGTTCAGTGACCCATGTCTTACAATCTTGAGTCCGCAACTAGGTGTAATATTATTTTATGTCCCGTCCATATTGAATTTGCATCTCTAGCCACGTTTGGCCACATCGGTCATTTTTGCAAAGTAATTTCTAGGGCCATAATTATTGGGACTTTGAGGCCATATAATCCTTACTAAGGTATTGCCATCTTTTTGAGGTCACCTTTATCGAGTTTGCACTATTAGTCGCCCTTGGCCACGTATGCCATTTTGCAAAGATAGCCCAATCATGTCCTGCATATGCCCAATATGAGGTGTTGTGGCATCACATAGTGTCTTTGTCACTAACTCTATTTAGTCTTATTTTTTTCATATAGGTATGGATCCACTTACCAGAGCTTGAGCATGACAGAAGCCCCAGGACCATCTTAGTTAGAGCCGTTGCTTTTAGGAGCTGTTTGAGGAGACTTTTTCTTTTTTGAGTATGTTTTATGTTGTCTTTTACTTTCTAGTATTGTACAATAATATCGAGTCTTTTAGGTGGTGTCGGTTTTTGTCGTAATCTAGTCGAGTTTGTCGAATCTTTTGTTATCATACTTCCTATTATGTATTTGAAAATCGAAAAAGTTAAAAATGAAAAATCTAAAATAATTTTGTTTTTAGTTTATTTTGTCTATTACTTATCCAGAACTATGCTTGGTATGATTCTTATGGAACATGATACGTAGGCAACTTACATAGGGTTCGATCGAATCATTTTTAAATTTTAAAAAAAGAAAGCAAAAAAAAGAGATGAAGTTATGAGATGTGAGAAATGAGAGAGAGAAAAAGAGTGGTAATCAGAAAGAAAATAGAGGAAAGAAAACGAAAAACCAAGGAGTGTTAAAGAGAAAATAAAGAGGAAGAGGGGCAAGAAGAGTGAACTTGGGATGATGCCAATATGACCCTCAAACTGTAACGATCCGACTGGTCATTTTGCTTTTTAGAACCCTGTTCCCCTAGATAAGACTTTCGATACTTGCTTTTACTGATTTATGACTTGCGGGAATGGTTGGTTCCGGATTTGGAAGAGTTCAGGTTGAAATCGGAACACTTGGTTCCTTAAGGTTAGCTTAAAAAGCCAAGTTTGACGTCGGTCAACATTTTGAGTAAACGACCTCGGAATCGGGATTTGACTGTTCCAACCGATTCATATGATGATTTTGGACTTGTGCGTATGTCTGGATTGGGTTTTGGATGACCCGGGAGCGGTTTGGCGCCGAATAGTGGAAGTTGATTTATTAAGGATTTTGAAGTTCTTGAGTATTTGGTTTGGAGGGGGTTTTTATGTTATCGAGGTTTGAACGTATTTTCAAGATCGGGAATAGTTCCGTTGTATCATTTAAGACTTGCACGCAAAATTTGGTGTCAATCCGAGTAGTATAAGTACGTTTCGGCACGTTAGAAGTAAATTGAAGAACTTGAAGTTCATAAATTTGATTCAATTGGTTTTAAGAGGTGATTCTTAGATTTAGCGTTGTTTCGAGTGTTTCGAAGGTTTGAGCGAGTCCGTTTCATGATTTCAAACTTGTCGGTATGTTCGAGCGGGGCCCGGGAGCCCTGGGCGTCAATCGGACGAGGCTCGAGTGAAGTTGGAAAAATTGGCAAGGAGCTAAAGCTCCAGTTATCTGTCATAACCGCACCTGCGGTTGGTCAGCCACAGGTGCAAGACCACAGGTGCGGTCGGCTCATCGCAGAAGCGGCTAAGGGGAGGAGCCTAGGAACCGCAGGTGTGGCTCCTTCTCCGCAGAAGCGGCTTCAAGACCGCAGAAGCGGTCCCCTAACCGTAGGTGCGGAAATCGCTGAAGGCAGTGCCTTAATTTAATACGGGAGTGTGTCATTTTGACACATTTCCACCATTGTTTGGGCGATTACGGAGCTTTCAAAGAGAGGAATTCCACCTAGCATCTTGAGTTAAGTTCATCCTACTTATTTCTAGTTTAATACTTGAGCCTTGGATAGATTAAAACACAAAGATTAAGGAAAAAATCATGGGATTAGAGAAAAACCTAGGGTTTTGGTAAAAGTTAGATTTAACCACAAAATTTGTTATGTAATGAAGTAGAAATCATATATTATTGATCCTTAGGTTATAAAGAACAACTTTCTTGGAAAATTTTTGGAATTCGGGCACCTGGGCCCGGGGTCGGATTTTAGGAAACTTGTGTTTAAGGTTGGGAAATTACTTTAGTAATTAAAATGCAAACTCTTAAGTATGTATTAACTATTTCCTACCTCGTTTGATTAGTTTCGGATCGTTCGGCTCCAAATTGAGGGTTTGAGCACGTTCTTGGTATTGGAAGTACATTTTAGAGCGAGGTGAGTCTCCTATCTAACCTTGTAAAAGAAAATTGTCCCCATAATTAAATAACTTGCCACTAAATGCGGGGGCTATGTACGCACTAGGTGACGAGAGTTCGTGCGTAGCCACTATTATGCTTAAGTCCGGGTAGTCTAGGACCCAAAAGCATGCTTTATGTGATATTCTTGTAACTTTATGGTTAATTTGGATTGCTTAAATCATGTTGGATGTGGTAAATGAAATTAATAAAAGGAACATCATTTTCTTTACCTTTTAAAGAGAAGTTGACATTTCTGTGAGTAATTGCTCCCCTGATATATTCTTGTCTGCCCGTTGTTATGCTTAATTACATTTGACCGGTAAGATGTATGATTCGCGAGCGGGATAATAGATGCATCTATGTTTCGCGCCGTTCGACCCTCCGGCAGTGCACACTTTATTTTTATGTTGGATCGGGCCGTACGACCTTGACACTACTTGCACATGCTTCTTGCTCGGTATTTTTCTGTGGATTGGACTTTGTTATATGCCCTGAAATGTAAATGGCCAACTGTGATATTATCTAGGAAAGGACTTGTTACTTCTTGCTATAAACTGTTAATTATTTGTGCTCTCCATGATTAGTATAACTCTTTCTCATATTATTTGACCCTAGTAAGTGTCAAGTCGACCTCTCATCTCTACTTCTTCGAGATTAGACAGGATACTTACTAGGTACATATTGTTTATGTACTCATACTACACTTCTGTACTTAATTGTACAGGATCTGAGGCAGGTACATCTGGCTACCAGTCTGGTGCATTCTTGATCATTGTCCAAGACATCCACGGTGAGCTGCTCCCTTCCTATGCCGTTCAGCAGCATGATGGAGTCTCTCCTTATTTTTGGTTGTCTATTCGATTTCAGACAGTAGGATAGCTTTATTCTTTTGTATATTCTACTAGTTGCCTGCAAACTTGTGATACCAGGTCTTGGCACACCCATTAGTAGACTACTCTTTTGGGGATTTGTATAATTATTTTTGTACGTTACTAATTATCACATGTTTTAACTTCAAATGTAGAAATTGATGTACTTGCTTTAGTTAAGTAAAATAAGAGCTTATTAATATTTCCACATCGGCTTGCCTGACAATGGTGTTAGGCGCCATCATGACCTATAATGGAATTGGGTTGTGACACGTACCCTCGAAGTCATTTTAGAACCGATAGCCGTGACTAGGTGCATTGCATATAATATGGCACTATTTTTTGTTAAGTTCCCTAATGCTAACATGATGACTTCATTTGTTCCTCTTTGTTATCTTCATTATAGTAGAAAGTTGGTTGGTTTGTGGTTCTTAAACTGGTAACTCTTCTCTATAATATAAAGTCGAAAGGCAATGGCAGACGACAACAGAATTGAGTTGGTTGATACTGGTGCCCAAAGGTAATTGGTTGAATAAGACACTAGGTTGGTTGAATAGGTAAAGATGTTAAGACGACACATGACGGACATGTATCAGGCTTGGATGACTCGGAAGGCACCACCCCCACTGCCATCTAGCTCCATAGATGCTACCCACACCCGAGCCCACGTCGTAGTGTCAGATGATCCACCATATTCACCAGATTTTCCCGCCTATCACAGCTTTCCTAACCTCCCTAGTAACTCCATTGTTCGTCCTCCAACTATATTTTCCAAAATAGTCCTCATGTCATATCCAATGTCCCCACTGTCACAACTTCTCAACAGCCTTTCCTTCATAGATCCAATAATGAACACCAGTTCAAGCCTTATGATGCTCAATACTACCCCCAGAGTTAGCCCACCAGGCCCCGGACTCCCATAATCGTAATTCTCAGAATGAGCCTCACACTGAAAATGAAAAGTTCACAAGGAAAGAAAAGGGAGATGAGATATCCAGAAAGCTGAAAGGTATAGAACAATCCTTAAAATATATGCAAGGGATGTGAAATCATATTAACATGTTTTACATTGACTTGTGTATGTTTCCTGATATTCATTTGCCCTCGGGGTTTAAAATGCCAAAGTTTAACTTGTATGATGGGCATGGAGATCCAGTAGTCCATCGGAGGGGTTATTGCAGCAAAGTGAGAAGTGTGGGCGGGAAAGATAAGTTGTTGATAGTGTATTTTAGTGAGAGCCTGAGCGGGGCAGCCTTGGAATGTTATACTTGTCAAGATGTCAGTAAGTGGCATGCATGGGATGACATGGCTCAAGATTTTGTTCAACACTTTCAGTAGAATCTAGACATTATCCCAGACCGCTCCTCCCTATCTAAGATAGAAAAGAAACCCGAGGAAAGTTTTAAAGAGTTTGGGTTCAGGTAGAGGGAACAAGCTGCTCGGGTCAGTCGCCCGATTGATGAAGAAGAAATGGTTGATCTTTTCCTACAAGCTCAAGGATCCAGCTACTTCAGTCATTTGATCCCAGCTTTAGGTAAACCTTTTAATGATGTGGTAAAAATGGGGGAAATGGTAGAATAAGGAATCAAGTCAGGCAAAACCGTGAGTTATTCTGTGTTGAAAGATACTACGGAAGACATTCAGAACATCTCAGTAAATTTGGGGGGAAGAAAGAGAAATAGAAAAGATGTTGTTGAGCCCCGCCAACGACATGATCCAGTAGGCATTCCTACTCAATGCTTTTAGCCTCAGTATCGACCCCATGAATATCCTCATTCTCTAGATAATCCTTCCCAATGCTATTTCTCTCCAAAAATCCCCAAAGTCATACCTCACCTTCCCAGTACTCTATCTGTAGGTTCACCACCATATGCCCCACATCCATGAGACCCGCAATGGCCTGCACTACCCCCACAAATGTCTTACCCACATCTACAAGCATATCCACCACCTACCCGCAAGAGGTTCCAACCGAAGCCAGAGTACAAAATGAAAAGGCAGCAGCAAAGAGAAAGGTCTTTCACTCCTATTGGAGAATCATATGCCAGTTTGTTCCAAAGGTTAAGGCAATTGGACATGTTGAAGCTGATTCAGATAAAAAGGTCGAACCCCCTTCCAAAGAATTTTGATTATTCTCAAAGGTGTGCATATTGCTATAATGCGCCGGGGCATATCATAGAAAAGTGTTTTCATCTGAAAAGAGTAGTCTAGAAGCTTATTGATGCAAGTGACATTACCGTGCAAAATCTAAATGCAGCGGATGCTAGCCAAAGTCCATTGCCTGTTCATAATGAGACACATATGATAGGCATAATTTGTGTTGAAAAGGAATATAGGAACTCTTCTGAATCCCTTGGAGGGCCACTTGCTGCGAAATTTTCGGCGATATCAGTCTCAGTTCCAGAAGTTGATCTTAA